AACAAGGTGTGCCTTTTGGTAATTTTGTTCGATGCCTATTTTTTTTTTTTTTTTTTTCGCTTTTCCCCCTGATACGATAAGGGTTTTTTACAGGTGGTGTTGCCGTACTTTTTTGGGTGTTTTGGGGAGGATTCATTTTTTGTTTGGGGGGGGTTTTTTTTTTTTTTTTTTTTTTTTTCTCTCGTTGTTGGTTACAAAGTTTGAATGTGGGTCGGGAGAAGCATGTGTTGTTTCCGGCCCTTGCTTTCCCCCCCTTCGGGAATAACAAAAGGTCCCCCCCGCAGCCCCCAGTATTTTTTTTGTTTGGGAAGATTGCCAGATCGTTACACTTGTGTTTTCATGCTCGTGTGCATGCTACTGCTGCGGCCGGTGCTGCCGTTGCTTGCCCCCCCCCCCCCCCGCACCCATCTTGTCTTGCCGTTTCTGGCGATTGCAGCATCTGGCTCTTGACGAAACACCTGTACATGCGGCCCGGGACTACCTTGCTCCTTCACGACGATCTTGGCTGCACTGTGAGTCCCGAAGAGTTTCCCCTGTATAAGAAGCAGCAAGTTTGATTGTTGTGTGTCCTCTCGCAAACAGAGCAAGCAACGATTACTGTCGTGTTTCGTACAGATGTTAAACGACGACATATTAAACCACGAGGATCGTAAGGCTGTGCATGTTGGTTCACAGCCCTTGCGACTTGCGCGAGCTGTGGGTTTCAAAGGGTGTCCAACGAGGCATTACTGACGGCACAAGCTCCTCCCTCTCTCTAACACCTCGGCGTGGTCACGCGATGTGCGCGTGAAATGTTTATCCTTGTATTCGTTCCTCACCTCTTCGTCCTGATCGCCAGCCGGCGCAGGCACAAACTCTAGGCTGAAATGCGGTCTGAATTTTTCGGAGATTTCGTAGTTGATTCGTCAGAGATTCCGAAACAGTCTCCGACGAGTTGACAGTCCTGCCTTCTTTTTTGGGCCGCGTCCCGGCTGTATACAAATAGTCGTTTTCCCACGCATCGTGTCTATATCCGCCACGCCCGACGTCCTAGGAACTGCGGATAGCCTCGAGTTCCACCAACGCGCTTCACCTCAACACCTTCGGAGGCTACATTTCCATCCTCAACACCAAGGTCAGTGCCATCATCAAGTATACGACGAACAGCAATGGTGGATAGTATCGACGCCACGTCGCTCGTGTGGTCATAAATCTAGAACCGATGGGTGGGGGAAGCCTACGTTTGGTCTTTCTTGTTTGGCGTTATGCCTGTGCGGTCTTGCTAGTCCGCCAGGTCTTGTCTTCCCACGGAACAGCCTTTGGTGCTTGTTTTACGACCAACCAGCTTGCAAACAAATTGGCGTTACCTTTTTTTGCACTGTCAGGTTCCCAGGTCTATCCGTGTCCCCCCTGTAGTGTTGGTGGTGCTGTTTTTGTAGTTGTTTCTGTCTCTGTTGCTGCTGCTGCTGCTGCTGCTGCTGCTGTTGTTTTTTTCTGCGACAACTATCTCTGCTGCTGCTATTGATGATGGTGACGTTGTTGTTGTTGTTGTTGTTGTTGTTGTTGTTGTTGTTGTTGTTGTTTTTGTAGTGCTCGTTGTTGTTGCTGCTGCTGCCCCTCGTTGTGCTGGTATCGTTGGTTCTTTTTGTGTTGCTGATAATGACGATATCGTTGTTGATGATGATTGTGTCGCTGTTCTGCAGGTAACCTCTTGGAGTGTAAGCAATAAGGAACCCGACGCCGGTGCCTATGACGGAAGCAATCCGAGGTCGTACATGTCGGCGGTGAGCGAGATGACTCACCCCTCGGACACGTGCGATGGCGCAGCGGACGACGACGCAGGGGAAGCGAGATTGGACAGTGAGTTCTTGTTGGGGCGGTTTCCGTTTGTGTTATTTTGGTGCTGCTGCTGTTGCCGTTACTGTTGTCCCTGTTGTTTTGTTGTTTTTGTCGTTTTTGTTGTTGTTGCTGCTGCTGCTGCTATTGTTGTTGTTGTTGTTGTTGCTGTTGTTTGTGGTGGTGGTGATAGATGTGTGGGCAGACTAAATAGACCGTGGGTGATGTGTTGGTGGTGCGTTGCGTGAGGCGTTGTGCCAGTTGTGACCGGCCGAGTGCCGGTTCGGCTGCCCCGTGTGTATGTATGGTCTAGTAGTCGGCGCTCTCCCATCAACAAGAATTGTATTTTCTGCAGACGTGGATGCACGGTGAACGACGCCCGTGTGCGTACCGTGCCCCTGCTAGTGTGGTGGCCATTCTTACCCTTGTCTGCCTGTCTGTCTGTCTACCTGTCTGCCTCTCTCTACCTCTCTCTCTCTCTCTCTCTCTCTCTCTCTCTCTCTCTCTCTCTCTCTCTCGTTCTTTCTCTCACTTGTGTGTGTAGTCATCAACAGTGACGTTGGCTACCTCGGGTACCAGGCAGCGGAGTCATACGGCCTCACCTACAAGGTCAAAACCATTACACCCCCGAATAACTGCCGCCGTCTACCCCCCCCCCCCCCCTTAGATATCGGGGCCTCCGGAA